TTCATTGCTGCTTGAGAAAGCGGAAACCGCGTCTAATGGCCATTCTGAAAGTATTCCCCAACGGGATCGTGCAAGAGCCACAGGCCGTCAAGGATAATAAAAGAGTTTTGCACGGCCTATCACGCACTAGATGCTGGCTTAAAGTCAGCAAACAACGCTATAAACGAAGCTGTCCGGCGACACTTCCAACACAAACGGATCTACTCAACGTACCATGCTGTTTTGGTATCCACATGTCGCGTAAACCCAAACCAGTCATCCAGGAGATAAGCGTTATTTCACTGGCTGAAAAGAGCGCTTAATAATAATTCTTTTGTTGCAACCACCGATCGTCAACAATATAGCAGTTTTCATTCGAGCGTCGAAGAAAGTTCATAAATTTGTTTTGCATCAACCACGTGATACTGTTGGCATCCAATCAGCAGTCGCACTGGTTTTCTCGCGCTTTGGGTCAGCTGCATGTAATTACTGCGAGTTTTGATTATTGGTTCCCCGTATTGTCTGTTTCCTTTGCGATTGGCTAAAGTGATTAGTTTTTGTTTTGGCTTAATGACACTCAATTGAAAACGGCTCAACACGCAGCGTAGTAAGTGCACGTGCGTTTTAGAGATCTTTCGGTTCCCCGGAATCTAACTGCACTCACGCTAATCTCTGTGGATTTTTCTTCCCGACTTCGGATAAGGTAGGCTTTAATCGACAATGCAGCACATTTAAGGTCTCAAAAAACGCCCGAAATTCGCAAGATGATGCGCCTCATTACAAGGTGAATTTGAGATCGTTTCATTTCGTAGAGAGGAATGTGTACACCTCACTCGGCGGCAATTAACAGGTACTTTTTGGATAGTCGAATTCCTCGGAAAATGTGCCATAACCGTATATTTCAGTTACTCGGTAAAAGCATTGCTTCAGACACTTTTCGACGGTCCTAAAAGATAGCAAATTATCGGTTAAAGGAACGCTCACGACGGGCGAGTGTTTTACATATAGAAAGGGTTATCAATCTTGTCCGAACATTCAGATGCAATCGCAGGCTGTTTCTTGTAGTTTAAAGCCTTGTAAGAAACGAATCACTGTAAAACCAAGAACTAGAGAGCCTTAGCATCACATAGAGGTGAAAACTTAACATCACCAGCAGCTATCACACTACGCAGGCCATGAACATTAATTTTGATTGAATTTGCATTCGTACACACGAAGAGGTCCACCCTATAACATTACCAACGTTTTCTAATTTTGCAGCAACCTAAACGAGATGGCTGGAAGTGTCAACCAAAATGTAAGTAAGAAACACGTCAACATGTATTAACAACTTTTAGTCTTATGCTAATACTCGAACGGGTACATCACAAATCTTGAAAAAGTTCGTGTTATTTCATTATTGTAACGAGGACGATTGATATTACCTGCTTTATTGCTTGTTTTTAGGCTTCTCGTCCCCTCCTTCTAAACCCATTCTATATAATTCTTTTATTTGTTTGCACGTCTAATTGTTATGATCAATAAAAGCCTTATGCTAACAGGAATTCTCTTTTTTCTTTTTTTCAGCACGAGTATACCAGGTAAATAACACCTTTCCTACTACTCTGCTGCTATCTAAATATTTATTTTGCCAGTCTGAAAGCAAGTAATAATATTCCTTATGTTGTTGGTAGTGTATGACTATAGTATCAGTACTACCTGTAGAAATGTTATCTAATTTTGATGAACGAAATAATAATTATGTACACTGGACTTGGATGAAGTTTAACACCAATTTACACTGGTCAATACTGCAGTGATCTTTCTCTTGCAGGAATATAGTTATAAAATATTCTATAATTTAGAGGTGTACAGCAAAATCAATGTACCACACTGGCTATACCATACATGAGTGACATACATTCAGCTATAAAAAAACACTTGTTCTTTGAAGTTGTTAAGAAACAGAAAAATGTGTGGAAACAGATCTTGTGTGCAATGAGCCTCACTGGAACAAGCAAATGTTTCCATTTCTTTAAAACTTGCCAGCCATAAGCAGGGTAGCCCCAACCTTACCCATACACTGCATGTGATTATCACAGATTTAATACAGGATTAATTTTACACAAATATTACAGCAGCTTATAATAAATGTACATGTACTTACATCGATTTGCTTCAATTCCAGAGACCAAACACCGATCTTCTTCTTACAGGATCCTATATTAGACCTAGAGGTAAGAAAAAATAATGCAGATTAGTAAAATTCTACTACTAGTATGATGCAAATGCCGCAATCTGATTGGCTGAGCTATTGTAACTTTTAAGCCATTGGTGTACTATGGCTGGAGGTCATCTTCGAAATGGTGATGATTTGTATGTTGTTTTCCAAAACAAAAGTTTTTTTTGTCAGGAACATTTTTTGGAAAGAATAACTTGGGTGATTGACCATATTTGTATTCTCGGTATTGGACTGGAACTAGCTTGCAATGGAGGCTCATGCGGGGGATATCATTAAAAAGAAATTAATGTCATTTGCATTTGAAAAGACTCCCTGCATTCGCCTCAGTTGCAGTCCAATACCGAGAATACAAAAACAGTCTATTCAGTTCCAGAGAAGACAAAATGAATGTCATTTACAGTTGCTTGACTTATCATGACTGAGACAATAACTTCATTCTTCATTTTGAGAGAATTTTCAAATATCACTTGTAGTGTAAATCCTTAACTGTACTTGCATTCACGCAATTACCTATACTACATGTAATTGTTGAGAAAACTGGTCAGCAAGTATTTTTGAAGGGATCTTGATCATGTGCAATTTTTYATTATCCAACAGATCAGTGATCAAGAATCTGAAATGATAAGGTACATGTAACAACTACCAGCAATCAACAAATGAAAAAAATACATGACTGTAAACATATAGATGTTGGGACACATTGCTTTGTACATGTATTATTAAGGGGGGGTCCTCCTTAACTACAGATTTAGAACAGTTGCTAAGGGATTGCTAATGGCGATATTTAAAGGAAAGTTGTTTTGGAGCATTTTGCAGTGCTAATTAATAGTGAATTTTATACAAGGGAATGTTTACTTTGCAAAAAGATGATTTCAAGTGCGTAACTAGTGTTAATCCCAAACCGTGCATTAGCATTTTAAATCCCTCAAACTTGGAAGAAAAGAGGAATAGTTCTGATTTTTCTTATGAATCAGAAATAACTCAGCCTTCTTTTTAATTGTATGTATGGAATTGTTGTTTACATGTAAAAGGAAAGCTACTGTACAAAGTCTGTTAATACCAGTGTTTATTACTTCATAACTTTTATGATGCATAGCATTAAGCACCTGGACATTCTTAATCTATTGACACTGATTTAAATTTTTGGATTTAGATGCCTTTAAAAATGTTAGGGTTTTTTTTTTTCTATTCTGGTCATGTGACTGGTCAAATATGGCCGTGATTAGAAACTTTGGCAGGACTCTACAGTGGGACAAACCTGTGCAAAAAGCTTATCCTTAGGAGGTCTGGTTTTCAAAAAAAATGGTTAGAAAACTTCCTTACAGCAACAAATTCATGGCCAATTTTTAGTTAAGAAGGACCCCCTTAAGATAAATGTACATGTACTTACATCTGATTTGCTTCAATTCCAGAGATATGGTGACAACACCGATCTTCTTCTTACAGGATCCTATATTAGACCTAGAGGTAAGAAAAAATAATGCAGATTGGTAAAATTCTACTACTAGCATGCTGCAAATGCCACAATCTGATTGGCTGAGCTATTGTACCTTTTAAGCCATTGGTGTACTATGGCTGGAGGTCATCTTCGAAATGGTGATGATTTGTATGTCGTTTTCCAAAACAAGTTTTTTTTTTGCAGGAACATTATTTTGGAAAGAATAAGGTAATAGACCATATTCATATTCTCGGTATTGGACCGGAACTAGCTTGCAATGGAGGCTCATGCGGGGGATATCATTAAAAAGAAATTAATGTCATTTGCATTTGAAAAGACTCCCTGCATTCGCCTCAGTTGCAGTCCAATACCGAGAATACAAAAACAGTCTATTCAGTTCCAGAGAAGACAAAATGAATGTCATTTACAGTTGCTTGACTTATCATGACTGAGACAATAACTTCATTCTTCATTTTGAGAGAATTTTCAAATATCACTTGTAGTGTAAATCCTTAACTGTACTTGCATTC